GCTGGGAATATATCCAAAGGAATGGAAATCATCAAGTCGAAGGTATACCTGTTCCCCAATGTTCATTGCAGCACTCTTTACAATAGCCAAGAGTTGGAATCAGCCCAAATGTCCATCATCAGATGAGTGGATATGGAAAATATGTTACATCTACACAATGGAATACTACTCAGCTATAAAACCGAATGGAATACTACCATTTGCAACAACATGGATGGACCTTGAGAGAATTATATTAAGTGAAAGGAGTCAGGCAGAGAAAAAGAAATACCACATGTTCTCACTTATTGGTGGGAGCTTAAAATAAATAAATTAATTCACTCACACACACACACACAAAAGAAAAACCAGAGGGGGGGGGAAGAAGATATAACAACTACAATTTTTTGAACTTGTTACAACAAGCAAACGGAAAGGACACTCTTGGGTGGGAAGGGGAAGAGGGAGGAGGGAGGGAGGTTTCGGTGATGGGCCATAATAATCAACCACATTGTATATTGACAAAATAAAAATTTATAGGAAAAAAAAATTGCCCTAATTTCTCTAGTTTGGGAAATAATAATCTGTTGTAAAAGAAAAAAATGCCTTTCACATCAGCCAAACATAGTTTTATGTTACTACAGGATTATACAGAAGCTGAGAATAAGTTTCTGGTGATGAAGATGGTGATCCAAGAAAATGAAATTTGTGAAAACTTTATGTCTTTAGTTTACTTTGGACGTGGTTTACTTCGATGTGCTCAGAAGAGGTAAAGACTTTAATTAATACAGAGATCTTGCTTGTGAACTTTCAGCACTGTGAAATGGGAATAAATTTACACAGTACAACAGTATAACAGAGTATGACATTTGTGCTCCCCTGGTATTTTCTTTTCAAATTCAACTATGCCTATATATAATAATTTTTTAATGTACTTGAGAGTATTGAATGTCAAGCTTAACAGGCCATGGCAATAAGAAACAGTCTACCATTGACAATAGGAACATGGGCTTTGGACTCTGAGAGACCTGGGTACAGATACATTTTCTACCTTTTACTGTAGGAAACTTAGTGTTGTTAGCCTTATTTTTTTTTCTTATCCCCAAAATGGAACTAATAATAGTGTCCACAACATAAGGGTATTGTAGATGATTAGCACAGTGCCCAGAACACAAAAATGTATAAATGATGGTTGTAGTTATCAGTATTATTGTCACTGACTTTGAATAGTTTTTGAAGGTATAAATGGGCTTATAACACGTTCAAAGGATCCAAATGCTGAGTTTTGGGAGTACTGGGTATTACATATTTCAGAAAGTGAAATCTGTTCACTTTCTGTATTGAGATCCTTAACCATTTGCAGCATAATTTATTCTTTTTGTTTACTAAGCGTCTGTCATATTTCAGAGATGGCGCTAGGTGTTGGGGATACAGTGGTTAACAAGTTAGACAGTTCTTGTCCTCATGTAACAGTATAATAAAGGATATAGAGTTTAGTCAAATAGTCAGTCATAAAATACGCAATTATGAAATGTGGCAAAGTGCTATGAAGAAACAGAGTGAGCAATCAAAGTCTTTACTGGAGCTCCAGTCTGGTTCTGGAAATCAGAAATCTCTCTGAGGATACAATGTTTGGCTGTAATCTGAGGGATGGATTAGGGAATGCTTATCTGGGCAAATCCTTATACAGGATTACTGCTAGACCAAACCAGTAGATCCCTAAAAGCCTCACCTGTATAGTAGTTGCCTGATCTCTTTCTAAGGTTTAGCTCTTATCATCTGGCATTCCTGTTGTCTTACTAGGGTGTCAGAAGTTTTCCCACTTCCTGTTTGCTAGGTCTGATTAACATGATATCACAAATATAGTAGGACAGTGTGATGTTTGGGAGAAGGTCAAGATGATAGTCAGTCTGTATTGTGACAGAGTAGGAGAATTAACATAGCCCAAGTCAAGACAGAGTGTGTACTACTGTCCTTCCCTAGTAGTAGATATGCAAACTACTTTTCATTCTCTGTACTAGTGGGCATTGGAGAGAGTCCCTTCTCCAGACCGTTGACACTAAAAAGCCTAGTCGTATGGCAGTATCATTACTTTCATCCATGGCCTATTGAGGATAACCACCACTGAGCTTCTCAAAGACACTGGTGCCCTTCTTACTCTGAATTTCTTATTGTATTAATGGATGTAGTATCCTCTGAACCTTTCCAGGAACATTGTCTACTGGTGGGTTCCATGTTCTTATATAGTGAGTCTATTCTAGAATTCCTATTTCCCTGGGCCCTCTGACTCTTTTAATACCCTGCCAAGACATTTCCAGCCTTTCTACCTTACTATTGGCCATCATTGTGGCCAAGTTTCAAAGAGCCTTCTCAGCAGTCTCTTAGGACTGACTTCATGTGTCCTGGCTAGGAAAGTAAATCTTGAATTGTGGAAGTGTTGTCCCATATCAATATACACTTCCTGTGATGGTTAATTTTAGTTGTCAATTTGACTAGATTAAGGAATAACTAGAAAACTGGTAAAGCATTATTTTTGGGTATATCTATAAGGGTGCTCCCAGAAGAGATTAGCATGTAAGCCTGAGGGTACTGGGTGGGAAATATCTGCCCTTAGTATGGGCAGGTGCCATCCAATCCATTGAGGTCCTGGAGACAAAAAAAGAGAGAAAAAGGTGAATGTCTCACTTTCTGCTGGAATTAGTATATACTCTTTTCTCCTGTCCATGGACATCAGAACCCAAAACTCTTCAGCCTTTGGGTTCCGGACTAATACCAGCAATACCTCTGGCTGTCAGGTCTTTGGCCAGTCTGAGAGTTTTCCTGTTTTTTAACTTTTGCTTCCCTTTTAATTATAAATTCCAGCTTTATGTCATGTTTTTTGTTGCCAAACTCAGTGTAGGCTGTTACAAGTAGCCACACAGCTGTCTGAATGCTTTGCAGCTTAGAACTTTTAAGGTCACATTCCATAAGGCCCTCTGGCATGGACACAGTTCAGCCAAGTTCTTTGCGTTTTTTGTTGCCAAACTCAGTGTAGGCTGTTACAAGTAGCCACACAGCTGTCTGAATGCTTTGCAGCTTAGAACTTTCTTCTGACAAATACCCTGGTTAATCACTTTTAAGGTCACATTCCATAAGGCCCTCTGGCATGGACACAGTTCAGCCAAGTTCTTTGCCAATTCATAACAAGGGTGACCTTTACCCCAGTTCCAATAAGCTTTTTCGCATTTACATCTGAGACCTCCTCAGAATGGTCTTTACTGTCGGTATTTCTATCAGCATTTTGATTACCACCACTTAACCAATCTCTGAGACATTCCAAACTTCTTATCTTCTAAGCCCTCACCAGAATCTAGGCTTTCTCTAACCCGCTCCTTCAGATTCTTCCAGCCTCTGCACATCACCTAGTTCCAAAGCTGCTTCCACATTTTCAGGTATTCATTATCAACAACACTTACATGTCCAGCCTTGTAATTTGCCCATTGGTTCAGCACTCTTAACATCCATACATGTTCTGCCAGTAGATACTAGTCAGGTTCTGCAATTCTTATAGTAAATAAAATTTTTCTTCCTGGGCAGGGACTGTCTTTTCCCACTTGGGCTGTCTTATACCTGACCCTAGATTTATTGGTCTGAAGGCAAAGAGTGAAGGTAAGGGAGAATCTTGAGGAGGAATGTCATCATCTTTTGAGACATGCATCTCAGATGATATTTTTGCATGGTCTCTAAGTAAAGGGAGGATGCTTTCTTCTAGGAGGGAAAAGGTCTCTGCCAGCCAAAGGGTTCATGGGGAATTTAGGGTCTCAATATTTTAAAACACATTCACCTAAATACCCCATTTCAGATCTCACGGTCTACTCATTAACTATCAAAGCCCTGATTTTAGCATAGTAGTCCTATTGACACTGCTTTTGGTCTCCCTTATAGTTGTTCTACTCTTATGATTAAATCATGGGCCTCATTTTCAGCATAGTCTGCATTTATGTCAAGAGAAGCTGAGGGTTCTTTAATTGTTATCATAGAGGCCTTCTAGCTTTCACATAATGTCCTGAGTTGATAGTAGTGGTCCTGTTGAGGCTATGCATTTGGTCTCATTTATAGTTTGTTCCACCATTTCATTAAATCTGTGCCTAATTTTCAACACAGATTATCTTTATGGCTATAGGAGATGAGAGTCTCTTTAAATGCTGTCATAGGGGCTTCTGGCCTGAGTTAATAGTTGGCTGACCTTTGCCTGTCATTCTCTTTCTTCAAGGCCTCCAAGACAGTTAACAAAAGCCAACCAACTCTACAGTCCCTTTAATTACCATGGCCCCCATACTGTTCAAGCTTGAGCTACTACATAATCTATTGCCTCCCCTTCCACCTGTATTTCATCCCAATCTACCACAGGTGAGAATCCTAGTATTTGTATTTCTATAGCATGCCAGAGGTTATCACCATCCTACTTACCACAAAAAAAAGAAAAAGAAAAAAGAAAAATGGATTTCTTGTTTTCTCGTTGGTAAACTGTCCAGTTCTAGAGTCTGATTTAAACTAACCGTATTTTTAAATGCCCTGCAGATATAATGGAGGACTGTTAGAATTTCATAAAAGCTTACAAGAAATAGGAGATACAAATGATCATTGGTTTGACCTAGATCCTACAGAAGATGAAGATTTACCTACAACTTTTAAAGTAAGAAACTATTTAAGAATAACATTTAGTCTGTGACTAATCAGAGTAATCTTTGATAAAGTGTTGTTTATACCAACTATGTCATATTCTATAGTAAGCACATTCTTTTATTGGAAATTAGCTTTTGATGTAAGAAACAGCTTTGATTCCATTGCCTAGTGCAGTGTGTGAGTATAATTCAAAAAGTAGAGAGAAGTGAGGTGGCAGTGTCAGCATTTTCAAATAACAAGAAGGTTAATAACCATACTAGTAGTCCAGTACTTTGCATGGTTAGAGCCAAATGTAACAGTTAACTTTTTTTTCTAATTACATTTACCATTATTTTGTTATTGATTTAAATTACAAAGTACTAAATGCTTAGTTCAGAAATGTTAGAAAATGTGAAAATGCCCAAAGATAAAAGTAAAATTCATCCATATTTCTTCAAATGGAGAAACTGTTCTTAGCATTTTTACTTATATCTTTCCAGACACACACACATATGAACACTCATACCCTTTATTTTTACTAAATTGGAATGATGTTATATACATTTATATGTAGTCTGGAAATATATAGCATTTTTAATTTCCAAGTAATTAGATTACTACACAGTATGATTTTTGTATAGTCCATCATATAAATGTGCTTTAACTTTTTGAACCATTTCTGTGCTATTGAACATTTAGTTTAACCTAAACATTCCAGTTTTTTGTTCTTATGTAAAGTAATCTTTGCATATTTCTCACATCATTTTGTTAGAATAAATTTCTAAATGTGAAATTGTGAAGCAAGTGTTCATACAGTTGTAAAGTTGTTGATATATGTTTATGTTTCCTTTCAGAAAGTTTGTACCAGTTTATATTCTTAAGACAGTATGAGAGTTTCCATTTCCCCATGCCTTCTGGGTATTCTTTACATTTTGGGTAATTTTTACCCATCTGATAAGCCATATGGATCTCTTTTTAATTTGTTTAATATGAAAATAGCTACACCAGGTTTCTCTTGGTTAATATTTCAGTGACATATCTTTTTTCAAACTTTTACTTTAAACCTTTCTGGACCCTTATATTTTAGCTGACCTTAAGGTCAAAAGCATTCCTCAAAATAAAGAGGGACATTTCATAAAAATGCAAAATTCAATTCTGCTGGAGGCTATAGCAACTCAAAATTTGTATATCTTTAGTAGTATAGCATCAAAATACATGGGACAAAAATTGACAGAATTGAGAGGAGAAATTAAAAAATCCTCAATTACAACAGAATATTTTAGTATACCTCTCAGTAACCAATAGAATACACAGATAGCTTTTGGCATTGTCAATATAATTATATGACTTTTAGCTTTGACTTACTAAAGTAGTAATTTTATACATTCTTTTTATATTGAACATTTGTGCCTACCCAAAGCAGTCTCTACTTGGTCTTGTTTGTTTCAGTCTTTTTCCTCCTCCTTTTAAAATATGTGTTTTTTATTATCCAAACTTTTTAAGTGAATTTTTATTTTTTACAAAGTAATATATGTATACAGTTTGTCAAATAATATTAAAAGACTTAAAAATTAGGAGTTCCTGCTCCATCATTTCTATCTGAAATTTCTACTCCCTAGAGGCAGCTTTTTCCAATTCCTCTAGGCATTTTCCTTTAATATTTAACTATTTTTCAAAAATATATTGCTATTTAAAACTTTTTTAATTTAAATATTGTGTTTTGACTTTCCACCTCTCTTATCCTTCTCTCTCTCTCTCTCTCTCTCTCTCTCTCTCTCTTCCCTTTCCCATCCTACCAGTAGTTGCAAGTTTTTATTAAATTGGGGCTCAGGGTTTTTTCTTCACCTCTCCCCTGTGTAGAAGGCTCTGTTTCTAGAACTTGAGTTTTCGTCTTTCTAGGTTTGCTTCCTTGTTTTGGTGGTGCAGCTCTTGGCCGTACAGCAGAATTCTCCAGCAGCTTCCCATAAAAGAGTGCTTGTAGGTTGCAAATAATTTTTCTTCATTTTTCAAGTGTTTTTCTGTTATCTTCTAACCTGAGAAATTTGATGTCATTTGATTTTCTTTCAACCTTTTGCATGCGACCTCTTTTATTTTTTTCTTTCTGGGGCGTTTTAAAGGAAATTCTGTGTGTCCCCAGTGTTCTGAACTTATGCTTTTTGGTTCTGGGATGTTTTCTTGATTTATGTACATGATGATTTCTTCTTAATGTTCTCTTTATCTTTTTGAAATGCTTGTTACTCAGATGCTTTGCATACTAGACTGAGTCTCTAATTTTATTATTTCTTTCATATTTTTAATTTTTATCTTTTTGTTTTGATTTCTGGAAGATATTCTCAACTTTATCTTTTGGCATAGGGCTGATATTCATGAAAGACTCTGTAGAGGCTTATTTATCATGTTGTATACCTTCAGTATATTAGCAATGATACTATTTGAAATCTTCTAATACTATTCTTCTGAAGGGTAAGTATTAAGGATGTGTCTAATCATCTAACATCACCTGATAATATGTTTCACCTACATATAATCAGCATTTTAAAATGAGAAATTGTATTCCAAGTTGTAATTTTGGACATTGGAAACATATTTCTGTTTCTACTTTTTGCCCGTTATAGCATGCCAGTGAGTGGCATATTGCACCACTACAGTAGTTCCACTGCCAGGATGGTTTCCTAGGGGCCATTTTCAACAAAGACTTTCCTGGACTCCAATGATTTATTGTCTCTCTCTTTCTTTCTCTGTGTGTGTGTATGTGTGTGTATGTGTATCAGAGCAAGTGATTCTTGATAGGAACATACCAGATGTTGTGCTATGGGTTAGGATGGTGAAGAGAGATATAGTTTCAGACATACACTTCTCTTCTTTCTGCATGTTTATATCATTCAGTAAGAAATCCAGTATTTCTAATTAAGGGCCTTGCCATATGTTGTTTACTTTGAGTGAAGGAAATCTGTTCTTTTACTATTTTTTAAAGAAAAAATACACAAGTCCTTCAAAAAGGGATATAATATGGACATATTGCTTAAGGTAAAACATTGGAAGTATTGTGGTTTTAATTTATTTTTTACTAATTAATGAGAATTCTTTTTGTTTTTGAAATCTAGGATCTTCTTAATAATTTTATCAAGACAACTGAAAGTAATATAATGAAGCAGACCATTTGTAGTTACTTAGATTGTGAGCGATCTTGTGAAGCTGACATTTTAAAGAACACCAATTATAAGGTACTATAATTATCAATTAACTGAATATTCAAAAATGTAATTCTAAAATTAAACTTAGATAAAAATTGTTTTATTATCATGCATTTAAATATTATTTTTAAAAAAGTGTTTAGTTTTATTACAATGATAATGGAGTTCAGAAGTTGTTTAACTGTTTCTAAGAACTTAGATTCAAAGTGAGCAGGAATTACTTATATTCTGTGAGTCAATAAAAGAATGAATTGGTTTTGCTAAGGTTTTTGTAACATTCTCGTGCCCCTGAAGTTATAATTATTATCCCTGCAATCATACAGTAAAAATGATCTAAAAAACTATTTACTTTATAGTTAGAAATGTTAGAGATTGAGAATAGTAGCATTTTACTAAGGAGAATGATTATCACTCCTCAGGAATTATGTTACTAAATAAAGATAGATCTCTCTGGATCTATCAGAATAAGAGTGTGAAATCACAAGATAGGATGAAAATATGTGACTATCAGTGCAAATTGAACAGCACTTCTGTAAGATAACCGAAATCTCATTTGTAAGGCATGATGTGTACAGCAAATAGGGTATGTAAGGAGAAGGAGAAGGCCAAGATCTATTCATTAGAATAAGACAGGGATTGGGAGTTGGGCCTTATGAGGTGCAGTGCTCAAGGCCACATATGTTCAGTATTGGTTTAGATGACATGATGATACAGTTCTAAGGTTTCCCAAGAAGACTTCAGGGTTCCAATCAAATGAACAGCATGTAGCAGCAGGAAGTCTTGAGTACACAATTTAGATTTTGTCATCAAAGCAGAATTCCTATTTAAAGGAAGCAGGGCTATAGTTTCCAAGGAGGGGCAAGATGGGAAGGACAAGAAGTTTATACCCTGGGATAACAGAGTAGTTTAGTGTTGCTTTGCCCCCCAAGGATTTGTCACCCTACTTCCCCTGGGTGACGGAGATGAAAGGATTACTTAAAGCCCATCTCTTCTGAGCAGTGAGAAGCCCCGAAGTGGTTAACTTCCCTTCCTTGGGAATTAACACCGAATTGGGGTTCTCTTCCTGCATTTATTTTCCAGACAGGAAGTTACAGGAAGAGAACAAAGGTGGGGTTGTAGTTTAACAGTATAGGCTGGTAACTTTCAGTGAAACAAGCCAGGTGACATTCCAGTAAGGCTATCAACAAAAGCTTGATCTTAGCAAACATTCCTTCTTACAGCAGTTTCTCAGTATCTTTACATAACAATCAGTAACTAGTCTGTCCTTGAGCCAGCAACCTGCTGTGCCACAATTCTTATCTTGCAACAGAGATTCACTAGCCTGGGGAAAATTTCCTGTCCTTGCAAGGTCAATATTTGAAACTGCAAAGCTTGGAAAACCAGACCCTGTGAAGTACATATGCTTTTTAGTATATTCCACAGTTTAGGAGCTGTCTGTCACCAAGGCAGCAAATCTGAGGTCTGGTGATTGGTAACAGAGGAGAGCCAAACAATAATGGTATGGAATTGGGGCTGGAGGAAAAGAGAAATGTAAAAATGGAGATGAAGTGCTGCCAGTTAGCTGAGTTGGTTAAAGTGTCGTGTTATAACACCAAAATCAAGGGTTCGGATCCCTATACTGGCCAGTCACCAAAAAAAAAAGGAGATGAAGATCGGTAGATAGCATTTTCCTCTACAAAGGTTATTGACTGGGTTTTTGATATTTTGTTGTACATGGCGTATGGAAAATATTACATTGACTTGTTCAAATTATTGCTCTTTTTTACTGTTCTAATTTTTCTGTTTAATGTAAAAATGACTTGTAATGTTCTTTGGTGATCTCTAATCTGTGTTGCCAAGTTTGGGTGCCATGTAAAACTTATCTAGTAATAGAATAATTTAAAAAGTGACTTTAGATGGTATTTTCTATATCTATATGAGTTACTATTTCCATATCAACAGTTTCCTTTTATTTTTTTCCAGGGCTTTTTTCAGTTAATGTGCAGTAAAAGTTGCTGTGTTTATTTTCATAAAATTTGTTGGAAAAAATTCAAGAATTTAAAATATCCAGGTGAAAATGATCAGGTATTGTATTTGCTTTTTCTTCTTAAAACTTCACTATAGCATTTTTTTTCCTCTGCCCTTTTCTATTTTGTCCTCTTCCCCTTTATTTCTTCCTGTTCACATCTTCCTTCCTCCTTTTATTTCCTCCCTCCTGTTCTTTTTCCCAATTCTATCTGGTGCTTATGTCCCCATCACTCTTCATTCTTTGTCATCATTTACTAAATAGCTCTTTGTAGCAACTCTGCTTGTTGCTTTGCTTAGTTATTTCTGTCAGTTTGTTCCCTTCTGTCTAGAAGTTTATACTCTGAAGAATAGAAATATTCTTGCATGTACTCACACAAAGGACATGGGATCAAAGAGTAGAATTGCTTAATAAATACACAGCAAGGATAATTATACAATTTTAAGGGTAATTTCTATTTTAGGGGCTGAGAACAAGGATAAATTTTATAATCTTTAAAAATAATATTTGAATTTATTTATATTTAGTTGTATTTAGTCATATAATAAGCTGAGTTTTTTGCTACTAAAATTAAAGCGGAAGTGCAAAGCCCAATTCTATATTAATTACTCTTTGGTGAGCTAATGACTATGTTGGGTCTGTAATGTTTGGTTCAATAATGTTTATGTTGTGCAAACAACAGAAAACCCTATAAAGCAATTGTGGTAGAGCAGTGAATATGGAGTTAGGATATCTGAGTTCAAGTCCAGGTTGAGCCACTTAGTAGTTTTATTGTGTTAGACTGGTAATTTAACTCCTCTGAGATTAATTTTTCTAAGCTCTAAAGTGAGAATAATCAGATAAACCTACTTTATAGGATTGTTGTGAGGATTAACACATAAAATAGGTGAACTTGCATTGTAAATTGTAAAAACAATTGTTTCAAGCATTATTATTTATTTTTAAGTGGTATGTAAACTCAGTTTCTTTGACTGTTGAGACAATTAATATTCCTCAATTTTAGAAAGAGAAGTAAAAGAAAAGTTAAGTAACTTAACCAAAGGAAATAGCAAGGTTAGAACCAGAGAAATGACTTAACATTCTTATTCTTTTCTTTTTTTCCCCTGGAATTCTCATGTATCTGATAGAAGTGCGGTATTCCTTTTTATGCTCACTTAACTAGCACATTTTACTTGAAGTTGCTTTCTCTGGGACAGCAAATATATTTTAGGCTGTAATATTGCTACTTGAAGATTTTGAAGTAGAAATAATGTGAGAGAGATATGAAACCATACATTTTAAATAGTATATCCACTGATATATTAAATAGACTGTCTTTGAACAGCTAACTCTCAAATGTTTATTTACATTTTCTAGTTTACTGTCTAGCAACATCTGCTTCTAACTTTATTTACTTAAATGTAATCAGATTTACACATCAGTGATATTTTTTATTTTTTTCTACTAATAACTTTAGAGTTTTAGTGGAAAAAAATGTTTGAAGGAAGGATGTGCAGGTGACATGGTAAGGATGCTGCAATGTGATGTACCTGGAATTGTTAAAATTTTGGTAAGTATCTCTTAATTTTCTTGCCTTTCTTTACCAGAATAGTATTGTTTACTTGAAACAGATTTGGGAATTATAATAATAGGATTCTAGCTATTTTCTCTTTTATGGTGACTAAGCTCTCTAACCTGTCTATTGGTATGATTTATTCAAAATAGTATTTAAGTGATCCTTAAAAAGAAGAAAATTTAAAAACTAAAGACAGAGAGAAACACATACACACAGAGAAATGGAGACAAAATATGCCATCAGTGTACCAGTGGGGAAAGTATCATGAACGGAAGGATGATAATTTATCTAATTCTACTTAAGTGCTACTTAAGGTTAAAAATAGTTTTAGACTTTCAGAACCTCTTTTAGTCTGTAAATGTCTTCCTATAAAAATATCTATAGAAATCACATATAGTACCTGTTGCATAAAATACTCAGATGGTCTCCATTTTATTTTTTAATTAATTGTTGATTTATTGTTGAAATATATTGTTGATTTTTCAGTTTATAAGTACATAGACCAAAATCATGAATAGAAATCTATCTTTTTCTTAAATCTTTAGATATGCTATTTTTTTATTTTAAATTTGGCCTTTAAATTTTATAGTGATGTAAAGTAGAAGTGCTTTTTAAGGTCAGCTCTAGTTTATTTGATCAGGATTGTTCATTGCTCACATTGTTACTTCTGTTTGATTTATATTCACTATGGCTCTATTCTCATTGTCTTTTTTCAAATGTTAAAGCTAAGAAGTAACATTAAAGAATTTTGAAATTTGAACTACTTTAGGGTTATTTTTTTCCCCCATCACTTGCAGTTTGAAGTTGTGAGAAAGGATGAATATATAACCATTGAAAATTTAGGAGCAAGGTAAGCTTGAAATAAAATATTTATTTATTTATTTATTGAGCATGTATGTATTTTTTTTATTGCTTCTTTCTTTGTTTCTGTCACCTGTTAGAGCTCCATTAAATTTTAAGGTAGTATTAGGTATATGGAAAAAAATCCTATTTATTCGCCATTTGTTTCTAATTCTGTCCCCACTTACTGTAGACATTTACATTCTGAATCAGGGAAGGAGAAATTATGTGGATACTTCTCCTTAATGTGTGAAAATAACTCTGTCCTGAAAACAAAACATTTTTTCCTTAAAGTTATCTATATCTCCTATCTTTCAAAGGCCACTAACCTTGTCTCACAATTAGAATCTTCTTGTTTCTTAGATGAGAAAACTGTGTTGTAGAGCGATATATATTAAAATATTGGAAATCACAGAGGTATAGAGTGTTGCTATTCAAATTAGAAGTTTCAATATAAAAAGCTTTTCTAATCCATTGATTTTTTTTCTTCCATTTAAAGTGTAAATAGCTACCATTTTTCAATCTACCAGGGACGTTGCTTTGAAGGCTAAGGCATACATTCTCCCTTATGAATTAATGAAACCCGAATCTTTATCTTTAGCACAGATCTCTTGACCTAGTATATCTACTTGCTTTTTCACAAATATCTATAATTTAGAATGCCTAAAACTGAACTCATGATCTTTCTTCTTAACACTGCTCTGTAACTTCTATCAATTTGATTTCTTAAATATATTATAAATTTCTCCTTATTTTTTCTTTACTTCCTAACCCTTCACTAAACTAAATAGGATTATTTTATTTCTCATGTGGAACTCTTAAACAGCTTCTTAACAGATCTAGCTTTGCTTTTCTCCAGTCATCAGATATTGATAGCCATCAATAAGACTTTTCTAAAATAAAAAATTGAAATATATCACTTTTGTGCTTGTGGATCTTTCAGAGGCTTCTTATTCTTAAAATTAGTTTCAAAACTCCTCAGTGTAGCTCTTCACTCACCTTGGATCCTGCTGAACTCACTAGTGTCATCTCTTATCATTATGCCCTTGCATATGTGCACTGACTATACTGAGCTGCTTTTATTTTCTTGAGTGTGCCATCAAGAAAAACCTGGAGGTAAAACTAGTTTATTATTTTACCTCGTGTCTTGCCTAGAATACTCTGCTCCTTTGGCTTTGCTTAGTTAAAACTTATGGAAAGACTTACTTGGATAGAGTAGGTATTTCTATCATGTAATCCTTCTATTTCTCCTATCAAAACATTTACTAACTTTCATTATGCTTTCTTGGCTGTCTTCTCCATTTGACTATAACATCCATGAGGGCAACAGCTATATTTTGCTTACTAGTATATTCCCAGCACATAGCACAATGCCTGGCACATATTTAGTACCCAATAAATACATAATAGATGAAGAGATTCTGAATTCCGTTATTCTCCGTGGGCAATGTTACCTTTGTTTTGACAGGCAATTAAGTTGTCTAAAGGTGAACTGTGAACTCTTTATCTTGGGTGGTGGCTCCATTCTCGGACCAGATTTTTGCCTTTAGCTGAGTTGCTTTGAGTCTGTTCCACACATACGTGGTTCAGCAGTCAATCAGAGATGTGGCTGGAAAGAATTTGGGGATCTCTTTTCTGACTCACTCCTTCTGGGATTCCCCCATTCTCTTCCGTGACCATGGTTCCCTGGCTTCAATTTTCTTGTTGCTTCAGACAAAGAGACCTTGGATCTCTAGTGATTCATCTTTTTCATACCTGATGTTGACAATTTGTGTCTTTTTGCTTTTTTTTCTTGATCATTCTCTAGGTTATCAATTTTGTTGATCTTTTCGAAGAATCAGCTTTTGATTTTATTGACTTTTCTCTAATATTTTTCCATTTTCAATATCATTAATTTTGGTCTTTGTTATTTCATTGTTTCTGCTTGCTTTGGGTTTAATTTGCTTTTCTTTCTATATTTTCTTAAGATGAAAGCTTTGATCATTGATTTGAGACCTCTGTTCTTTACAAACTGATTTCACATTAAGTACTCCTTTAGCTATGTTTCATACATTTTGATATGTAGATATTTATTATTATTATTTTCATTCAGTTCAAAATGTTTTCTAATTTTCTCTGTTTATGTGTGTGTGCTTGTGTGTTTTAAACATGGGTTATTTAGAAGTGTCAATATGAAGTAAAGGGCCCATTTGGGAATAATATACAAGAATTGCAATTTGAGATGCCCCATAGGTGTGTCTGAAGAACAAAGGGAAAGACTGGGGTTTTACTGGAGAAAAGAAGAAGGTTATGTGACCTTTCTTTCTTTGTTTTGAAAGAAAGTTCATTGGTGCTGGCAATGTCTTGCAGGAGGAGGTGAGTTCTGATTGGTGAGTGGCAATAGTTCCAAGGTAAAATTTGTATCTTAAAGTCATAGCAAGCCTTTGCGGTCTTGGATGGGGTTTACAAGACAGTTCCTGAAGTAGGTATTTGTGACCTGAGTATTTTTCCCTATGGCCCCACTGACTCTATTTTAGTTGGGTGTGACAAAAATGATTCTATTTTTTAGAATCAGTTTTCACAGAAGCTTGTTGTTTAAATGCCAAATATCGGGGGGATGTTTCAACTACATTTCCAGATACTGATGCCTAGTTTAATACCCTGTGGTTACAGAATATATTTTCTAGCATTACTGTCTTTTAAAATCTGTGGAGATTTGTTTTATGACCCAAAATGTTGTACGAGAGTACTTCAGAAAGTTCATGGAAAGATCTGTTTTATCTTTTAATTCTATTTTTCTATGAACTTTTTGAAGTACTTTCATGTATCTTGATGAATATCACATTTGCATTTGAAAAGAATATCATGGTGTATTCTATACATTAGATTAAGTTAGTTTATAGTTTGTTTCAATATTCTGTATCATTACCAATTATCTGTATATTTTTTTTATCAGTTGCTAAGAGGGAAATGTTGAGTGCTATCCATATTTTGGCTTTGTCTATTGTCTATTTCTATATTTGGAAGCTCTTTTATTAGATGCTGCATACACATTTAGGATTATCTTTTTCTTGATGATTTGACCCCTTTATCTCCCTCATATCCCTGATAATATTCCTGCTTTAAGTCTCTTACGTCTGATTAATATAGCCACTGCACACTTCTTTTGATTAGTGTTTGCATGATATATACTTTTGCATCCCTTTGCTTCAGCCTATATATATATAAATAATGTATATATGTCTTTGTATTGAAAGAGAGTTTTTTTGTAGATGGCATAGGTCTTATTTTTTTTTTTTATATCCAATCTGACAATCTCTGCCTTTAAGTTGGGATTTTTATTCCATAAAATTTTGCTGTAATTATTTGTATGATTGGATTTAAATCTACTCTCTTCCTGGTTGTTTACAACCTTCCCTATCTGTTCTTTGATTTTTATGTTCTGGTTTTTTTAACTTTATTTTTTTTTTTTTTAGTGATTGCTAGTACTTAAAATACACATTTTTAACTTATCATAATCTCTTTTTGAATATTATACCACGTTATGTATAGTGTAAGAACCTTACAATAACATATTTCAATTTTTTCCATCTTTTGTGCTGTTTTCATGTTTTACTTCTACATACGTATTTTATAAGTTCCATCATATACTGTTACTTACAAGTTTAGTTTAATTTTTTTTTCTATTTTGAACTTTATATACATGGAAACATTTATGTCTTTCATGCATTTTTAAACATACATTATGTTTGTGTGATTTATTCTTACTATTATTATGGTTGTAGTTTATTTGTTCCATTGTTGTAATTTTATTGTATGGCTCTACTACTTTAATCATTTTATGGATATTTGGATTATTACCAGTTTCAGGCCATAACCACAGTGCTACAATCAACATTCTTGTACATGTCTCCAGGTGTATATGTGCAGAAAATTTTCGAGAATATATACCTACGAGTGGAACTGCCAGGCTATTTATGCATATCTTCAACTTTACTGTTTTTCACAGTGGTTTTACCAATTTACACTTCTCACCAGCAGTATAGGAGAGTTCCTTTTAATCAGAATATTCACCAATACTTCATATTTGTTAAAGCTGAGAGTTTTTCCAATATAGTAGGTGACTGGCTGTGTTGTAGTGGTACTGGAAAGATCAGTTAACAACAATAAAACCAGACATCGACAGCCACCGTAAAAATCCCTGTCCTTGTTAAGTATGCATTCTACTGTCATCCAATAATTTTTTGTTTTGTTTTCTGTGAGAAGGTTCATTTCAAATCCAAGCCACAATTTTTTTTTTATCTGTTTAATGGCAACATTTACCTAGTTCTCAGTCTATTGACTAGATTTTGCTGGTTCTTCCCTTTTCTTTTTCTAATTATTTATATTGATGTTACACTGGTTTATTTATTTATTTTTAACCACAGTCATTGAATGAGTTGGGTTTTCTTGGAATAGTTATTGCCAAAAAAAAGAAAAAAAAAATGTGGTAAAGGGAGGGCCAGTGAGGAGTTCTAGATTTGTTCTTTCCTTTCTTTGCTTTAATTTTAGTATTTTAATTTTCTTTTTCTTTTTTTTTTTATAATGCAAAGCTTTCTTTTCTTTTTTTCTCTGCTACCACATAGCCTTCTTGTAAATAAGCTTATCACCCGATTCTTTTTTTATAAAATCTAGCAGTACTACTGACCTCTTAATTCCAATGAAAATAACAATGTGGGGTTGGTGTTGGTGATAGTTTTTATCTGTTTATTCATTTTTCTCCTTTGCTTTTCAATCATTTCCAGGACTGGAAGAAAATACCCACGTAGTCATGCTTATACCAGAAATCTTGACTGGCTTTGATATTATCTTCATTATAACTTAATTTTTTTCTCACTTGCAGTTATAAAAAATTGATGTCTCTGAAAATAACTGATTCTGCTGATGTAAGACCAAAGATCAGTTTAAAATTTAACACAAAAGGTATTATTTTATTTTTATATGCCTCCTATTGAAAAGTATTTTAAAATTGTTTACTTCCTCTGTAAAGTATCATGCCATTAACAATCATGTCTTCATTTGTGTTTGTCATTTACTGGGCTTGGGTTTACATCAGCAAGCAGCACTTGGTGTTGGCTGGAATTCACAAAAGGATCAGCAAGTGTATAGGTCTCACATTACTTTGTTATCCTATAGGGAGGCATGCTAGGTCTGGTGCCTAGCAGTGACTGCACAATGAGATTGTGCTCCAGCAGAGGTTCCCTACAAACCCCTCCTCCCTTGTTGCATTCCCTCTTAATAGAGCAAGCACAAGAGTAGCCTTACATGGAAGGAATAAACATTTTGGGCTTGGGGACAAGTAGTCTAAACTCAGGTTCCAGCTATTTAGAAGTCTGCTAAGGGCCAACCCAGTGGCGCACTTGGGAGAGTGTGGCGCTGGGAGCGCAGCGACGCTCCTGCCGCGGGTTCGGATCCTATGTGGGGATGGCCGGTGCGCTCACTGGCTGAGCACGGCATGGGCGACACCACACCAAGGGTGCGATCCCCTTACCGGTCATGAAAAAGACAAAAAAAAAAAAAAAAAAAAAAAAGGCGGATGTACGGTACAGCAGCGAGACAAGGGTAAATTGAGCATTGAATTACATATCTTGCTTTTGTGTGCTAAGAAAAAAGAGCTGCGTATCTCTGATATTAGCCACAGTGACAAATGTGGTGTGCCCGCGATGTCTGCATTAGCTCTTCTGAAAGGCGAGTTGTGTGTTTAGAGACCTTAAGGACCTCTGGTCCCATAGAAGAATAGCTTGGTGGCAGTCTTTACTAGGAGGAAAGGATATGCCTAATCCCAACCAGCTCCTTATTTAGCAACCCAGAGAAATTCCTTGAGTCATTTGCTTTTTAACTTTATTCGCCTCCACAGTGTATGTCAAGTACGAGGAGACTTCAAAAAGTTCATGGACATATTCATATTAACTTTTAATTCTATTTTTCCATGAACTTTTTAAAGTACCTTTGTATAGCAAGCAAATATACTAACTTAAAAATCTCTTGAAAAAAAGTCATATAGGATAAAATAATAAGGCTACATTTTATGATAAACACATATTTTGATATTCATAGAAAAATCGAATACCATCATATACTAAATTCTTACTACTTTGCAATTTATTTAAGTCTACCATCTTCCTTTGGAAGTATTACTAAATCAGTGAAATACCAAATAGTCTCATGCCTCATTTCATTTTATTGATGAAATATCTACTTAATCATTAATTTATTTACTGAGGGGGTAAGAACATGAGGTTAATTAGATCAGCGCTTTATATGTATTTGAATAATCTGTTGATTTTGATCAAGTGAAGGTTCCAGTTCATTAGGTCTGGAGTGGGGCCTAAAATTCTTCATTTCTGACAGGCTCCCAGGCAGATGCTGATGCTGCTGTTCTGGGCTACACTTTGAGTAGCAAGGCGTTAGATCACTGTATTTTTTGATATACATATAAGCTCTCTATATGGTAATCACTAGTAATATGTGATTATTTAAATTTAAATTTAAATTAAATAAAATTTAAAACTCAGTTTCTCAGTCAGACAAGCAGCATTTCTAGTGCTCAGTTAGCAGCAGACGGTGCAAATATAAAACATTTTCATCACAGAAAGTTCTGTTGGATAGTGCTAATTAGAATAAAGTATAATTAAGTCAAGTATAATTAAACATTGGCAGTTACCATTCTTGACAGATTTCAGAATTTTCAAAGGCCTAATACTTAGGTGCTATTTGGTTGCCAGAGCTCATTTACTTGAACAAAACTCAAAGATAGTTGAAAAGCTTCTGTGGTGATTAGTCTTTGTGATTACTTTCACTTGGAAACATATTATTTATATTTAGATTTTTTGACAGCTAGACAGAAATCAGCATGAGTATTGATCACTGGTGAAGGAAAGCACTATACTGTACTTCATTCTCTTGTAATAGTACCTGTCCTACAGGAGCTTAGGATGTAATGTGTGAGACCACATAGAAAAAAAGGATTAATGTGGAATGTCTTGACTTCTCAAAATTTATTTTCAGATGAAATGCCTATCTTCAAACTTGATTACAACTATTTCTATCATCTGCTTCATATAATTATTATATCGGGTACTGACATTGTCCGGCAGATATTTGATGAAGCTATGCCACCCCATCTTTTGAAAAAAGAGCTTCTTATACACAAGAATGTGCTGGAATCCTACTACAATCATCTTTGGACCAATCACCCTTTGGGTGGATCATGGCATCTGCTTTATCCCCCAAACAAGGAGCTACCACAATCCAAACAATTTGACTTATGCCTTCTATTAGCTCTCATAAAACATTTGAATGTATTTCCTGCACCTAAAAAAGGCTGGAGTATGGAACCACCATCTTGTGATCTCTCTAAGTCTGCAGACATCCTGAGGCTGTGCAAATACAGGGATATCCTCCTTAGTGAGATTTTGATGAATGGTCTCACAGAGTCACAATTCAATTCCATTTGGAGAAAAGTTTCAGATATTCTTCTACGCCTTGGGATGAAGCAAGAGGATATTGACAAAGTGAAGGAGGATCCCATTGAGAATATTTCCCTTGATTACCATCAGCTATCCATTTACCTAGGCATACCAGTACCAGAAATCATCCAGAGGATGTTATGTTGCTATCAACAAGGTACTAAATAATTATTTACTTCAGCCAATAAACCACGGAGTGTCTGCTCTGTGCCAGGCACACTGCAAAGGGAAGGAAATTCAGTGAGCTAACATTCTTGGGAGAATAGAATAGAGTATTACCTTCTCATCAAGAAGGTAATAGAAATTATAATGCTAGAGATGTTTTCAGAATGCCATGGGAAATTCTAGCCTAAGGGAGTCTGAATGAACTTTCTGAAGAGTATAATGGTTATTAAAGAATTCTTAAATGACGTGTAGAAGTTAGTCAAGTGAAGAACATGGGGAAGGATGTTTCAGAGGGAAACAAGAACAAAGGTATTGAAATATAAATATATATTGTAGAAAATTAAAAAATTTGTCATTACTGAGATTAAAGTAGGGGAGAGAGTTTATCAACAGAAGACATTCAAGAAGATTTCGCTTGCCATATTGAGGAGTTTGTATTTTCAGAAAAATTGTTGAAGATAATTTTAAGTAGAGTAGTTTTATCATTTCTCTAAAATTAAGGATGCCTAAAATGATGAAATTCAGGTACTGTGTGGTTCCAAGAATGCCCTTTTGGACAGTGGGTGTATGTTTTGTTTTCCTTTCTAGCAGAACCTTGATATTTAGTTTAAAATTTTAGCAGCTGTCCATTGGCTGTGGGTAATTTAAAAAGTCAGCTAACTTTCATGCAAGGGTCTATTTTCATCAGTGGCCATACCTAAACTTGTCAATTGATATGGTAAAGACTTCAGACATCTTCTCCAACATTCCAGGATCGCTTCTCAGCTCTCCTCTTGGAAAGTGGAGTTCAAAGCATGTCAGCACACTGAAACTCTTACTGTTCTAGAATTCAGGGTGACTTTTCCTGGTCCCAGGTTATTAGTTGTACTGCCTAGTCAGCAACTGATTACCACCGTGATGTTATTTAAATGAACAACTCTCCAAGTTTCTAATAATTGTTGAACTTCTCTGGATTTTCTTCAGGGACAATTGCTATGCCCCAATCCCAGCCCTCTTACTAAAGCCCTGGGATACCTTTGTTTTCCTGCTTAATGTTTAAGAGCTTTTTTGAGTATAAAAGGAGAGAACACTGAGTTTGATGATATGAGAAAGTCAGGCAAGAACTCTTGACTTATTTTGACGTATAAATTAGAGGCTTAAAAAACATTCACTCTAATAATATTTTAAATAACAAAAACTCATGAAAATAAGGTAATATTTGGGAAAGGGCTTCGAGCACTAATTCAATTCAAAGCTTGTCAAGCAATTCTTATTCAACACAGTCTGAAGAGCTTATTGGTCAAGTCTCTCTAAAAGAGGCTTTGTTAGCATCTTATATCTCTTTCCTCATTTATTACAGTTGCAGTTTTTATTTGTATATCTGATTATTTGGTTAACATCCATTGTCACCACTAAATCTCTTTGAAGATTGCTTTTTTCCTATACCAATCTCTAGAGTCTAACACAGACTGATAGACACTGTGAGTGTTCAGTAAATATTAATGGGCATGGAGAGGGAATGCTAATCAGGGTAATTCACATTGCTAAAAGAGGCTCAAACTTTCAATAGAGGTTAGCGTTATAATTGACTATAAAAAGTAAGAATTAGCTGCTTGGTTTAAAGTGCTTATGTTCTAGGATTTATGTAATATTAACTGTCAAATTTTTGTTTACTTTTTTGTGTGTAATCATGGGTTTATAACTTTAATAGGATAATCTAAAGATTGTGCCTCTTCTGAGCTGGATTGGTGAGAAAAGCTGGTTATATTTTACAGTTAGTTATAGAATAAATTGGTACAGTATAAAAATTTGCTGGCTTTCCTTGATTCTAGTCAGACATTTGTTGACTGTATTTGCAATTCTACATCTAAATTTTTTCTCTATGTGCTATAGGAATTGCTCTACAATCAATAACAGGCAGTCAACGTAAGTATATTTAAAAACAAAATGCCTAAGTGACCTTTTAACTTGTGATACCTAAGGGATACCTATAGGAATTTTACTTGGTCAGATAAACTGTGTGATATACTATACCTGTTTGTTCAAAGCTTGGAAAATCATGTGATCAAATTACTACTGGTCGGCTGAGTCTAGTATGATCCTGAATTTGCCTTGATCTTAGTGCATATGTCCCAGCGTTTATCCAAGGATGGTGTTCTAACTTTTTCTCACAGGACACTTCAGCAGGCAAAAATACCTACCTGCTTGCTCTGCCTGCTCATAAGTGCTGTTTAGTGTGTGTAGCTTTATCTGGTTAACTATCCATTGCTTACAGCATATGCTTTTTTGCCAGGTGGCGAATTGTATATCCTTCTTATGAAAAAAAAAGAAAAAAGGAAAAAATAGATCTAGTTTTTCCTTTTCTTTCCCATGTTTCAGATTTATGTCCTAAAATAATATTAGTTGCAGTATTAATGTGGTTAATGTCAGGACACTCAAAAACTTAGTATTTAGAGTCTACTTAAATTCTAGAGTATCTAATATTTAGAGTCTACTTAAGATACCAGTGAGGCATTCGAGCTCATACTGATTGGTTCCAGACTAGTATATGTATCTATTATTTGGTTGTTGATAAGTGGACATTACATTTTCATCTAGTAATTGTGAAGAGTAATATGTTTTCTATTTCTGGGATATTATTTTATGGGCAATCATTTATGATAGTGATACGAGACTGAAATTGTTTGCGTCCAGATTTTGAGTGTTTTGTCTTTAATATTTAGGTATTGAAATAGAAGAATTACAGAATGAGGAAGAAGAATTAAGTCCACCTCTCATGGAATATAATATAAATGTGAAATCAAACCCTGAAATACAGTTAGCAGAAATGAATAAAGATGGAGCCTCGATACCCAGTGAATCTTCAACAGAATCTGTTAAAGATCTCCAGGAAGTATAAGCTCTCATTAATACTAGAATTAGAACTTATTCCTTGCCTTTAGTTTGTTGCATGTGCTTTACTTAAAGCATCCCAGACAAATCTTATTCATCATAGTGTTCACACAGAGCTTAGATTGGAATGATTCTTTTCCCAGTACTTCCTTCCATAATCTTTCCTGCCATAACCATTTATTTTGCCAAATTTATTGAATGTTTAGTATACACCTGGCACTCTACTAGATTTCTAAATGTGTTTCTTCCTTCTGACTGATGGAAATGGATGTGGGAGTGTAGTAGAGAGTAGAAGAAAGTATAGTGGGGAATAGAAGAGAGGGAAAGGAAGAGCAAACTCTGGAAATATTTCGAAGCCGTTTGTGCAGAGGTAGAAGTAAAATCATCCAGGATGGAATCTTCATGTTTCTTTATAGATAAGTGGTAACAATTATTATATAATCACTAAATACTTGTTAGTCTTAACCTTTCATCTTATGGACATGAATAAGTTGCTTTTTAAAAAGTGCTTTCTTCCTTTTACTCACATGCATGTGTGCAAGTGAGCATCTGTGAGCTTTTATCAGAAGCCTACTTACTGAAATTATGTGTTGCTCCTTTACACATCAGTGATTTCTCAAGAGCAGAAGACTTACATTAAAATAAAAATAAAGTGAAAATAATTGTTTCTGTAGAATCTAGAAAGAAATATGGTCTGTAGTGTTAAAAGACAAAAGATTTCACTTGGAGGAAACATTTTGCAAAATAAACCACCGTATAGTTTGAATTGCATATTAAATAAATGACTTATTTTGTACCTACTAGGTTAAGAGTAAATCAAAGAAAAAGAAAAAGACTAAGAATAAAAAGGTAAGAGTCTGCATTAGCATTATAATAGAGGGACCACTTGAGTTTAATACAAGAATTCTTTGTTAGTACTTAAATTGGTTCAGGTAGACATATGGCACAAATGATTCAATACCTTATTGAATGTATGATTATAGAGAAGTCTGCATGTGTTACATACTGAATAATTTAAACAGTGTGCCCTACTTTTTCTCAATCATAATTTAAACATTTGAATATACAAATGAATAGACTGATTAGTCACTCTGAAATTTCATTAATTTCTGTATACCACTCATTTTTCAAATTGCTACTCATTGTTTTAAAAACAGCTTCTGTTTGTCATATCTCCTGATATATTCATAGCATTTTTCAAAATCTTAAGAAATCTTTATTTTCTTCTTCTTTGTTTTGGTGGCTGGCCGGTGTGGAGAACAGAATCCTTGACCTCAGTGTTACAAGGCTATGCTCTAACCAACTAAGCTAACCGGCCAGCCCTCTTCATTTTCTTCTTTATGTCTGAAAGTCTGTCAACAGTGCCATAAAGTACAAAAGAAAATGGTAGAAATACAAGTTTCCTTCATTGCCTCTTTTTTGATTTTTGCCATTTGCAAAATTAGTAAGTCACTATCCGTAACACAGTTTTAGCAAATAGTCTCTTAATTGCTTGGAAAACCAGAAGGGAAAAAGACTGAAGGCTTTTTTACCCCCCACCCCCCACCCCACCCCAAGCATGTAGTTAACCACTATGCTTTGAAGACTTTGTAGTGAAAAAATGTTAGTTTTCTGGCCTGAAACAAATATTTAAAATTGATATACTCTGTATATTATAAACTGAATGAGAATATTTGCCCAACTACAATCAGGTAAGCCTATGTTATGAAGTATACAGAAATTTTGATCATGAAACTTAAGACAATGAAGATAAATTCATGAAATACTTATCAGGAACAAAATAAAGATAATTTATACTCTAATTTGATGTAAAAGTCATTTTCATATTTATCATAATCGTTATTAATTTTAATTTGATTTCACTCAGGGTATTTTGAATATTAAATTTTATTTTTTAAAGATGTGAATATGAAGTTTTTAATTTACAGTTAGATGGTTCTTATTTGATAAAACACAGCCTAGTTCTTTTGTTTAGTGATATTTTTTATTTTTGCCAAAATATTTGTAAATCCTAGGCCTAATACTACGTAAAGCTGGCCAAGTAAATCCATAGCTGTCAAACCCCAAAAGGTTTACAAGGTGTCTCTTCTTTGCTACCAAAAGTTAAAATATGATAATACTCAAATTCTCAATTTTAGTTAAATGTAAACTCCCATTTCTACATCAACTTGAAATTGAACAGGGAATAAACACAACTGGAAATAAATGTAAACATTTCTCAAAAATATATAACTAGTAATATTAAAAATTTCATTAAATGTCAGCAAATACCTACGGACTTTTTGTTTCTTTAATATTCTAATATTTTTTCCAATTTATTTTCTTAAAAGAAGTTGAAATACTTTTAAAAATAAGATAATTTTATCAAGATAAAATTTAGATATTAGAAGAGAAACCTTGTATCTTATGTCTTATATCTTTTATCTAAATTTTAAAGTATAGGACCTAAAAATGCTAAAATTTATTCATGTGACTGTTTCATAAGGAATAGTCCTATTCATATTCTCAGTTACTATTACTGTAGGTGTGAAGAATTGTCTAATTGTAGTGTAAGCAACTAGTTATAAAAAGCAAAATCAACCAAATTCTTTTTTTTTTTTTTTTGACTAGTAAGGGGATTGCAACCCTCGGCACGGTGTGGTCTGTACCAGGCTCAGCTCAGCCAGTGAGTGCACCAGCCATCCCTATATAGGATCCGAACCCGCGGCCTCGGCACTACCAGTGCCGCACTCTCCGAGTGAGCCACGGGGCTGGCCCAAAATCAACCAAATTCTAATCAGTAGTTCTCATGAAAAATTCTAGCATGTAGAAATTTGCTTGTGTCATATTACTGATGACAAAGTCTCTATGCATGAAATTGTGTCCTATGTTAATTATTTGTTTTGTAACCTGACAGTAGTCCTAAAAATACCTATTAGGGACTCTTTGGAAGAATATGAAGAAAAAGTAAAATTTGTATAGCAAACAGAGGGGATAATACAGATAACTTCTAACTAGTATATATAGGGACGTGGTGGCTATTCTATATGTTACCTTTCTCTAGTTAGGTATTTAGTATTTAGCTTCTAATATATCCAGGTTATAAATAACTCTTTTGGAAGTTAATTAAATCCTCCCACCCAGCCAAGGGTTAGGATGGGCAAAAGAATAGAAGGCTTTTTTGATAAAGCTTTGGGGGAAGAAAGAAACATGACAGGAAATAAATACAGCCCTTCAAATTGGGTGGTCTCTATGGAAGGGAAGTTGTGGAGATGCATGTAAGAGAGGTTGATACGTGCTTGGCATAAAGCTGTCATGGGAAGAGCTAAAAAGGATTTTGAGAAATAATGAACTATACTAGATATCTTCATTATGAGCAACCAAAAGTCTTTCAATTCAAGCATTCAACTGCACTGGAACCAGGCAGGAGTCAATAATTCTAAAACATAGAATCAAATTGGCACTAGACATTGAGCATAAGATCAGACACTGAAATACAAAAATCCTCTTAGTATACAGACAAGAATGCAAAACAAATGAGTATATACAGCATTATATCTGTGGAGAAGGAGACCCTGAGTTTGTTATAAGCAAGAAATGGTAGAAATTGATATTTAGTACTCTTAACTTAATATGTAAGTGTCATTGATATTGCTTTTATTTGGTTTATTGCCTTTATACTTTTATTTTAATGAATATAAAATTTAGGGCTTTTTAAGGATTTTTTCTGAGTTGTGATCTCCTTAACACTTCTTTTTCTATAAGATTCTTCATATATTAGTCTGATTTCTCCTTACATGTAGGTTTTCAAGAACCTTCGTAGTTAGTATAGGAAGAAATAGGAATTACATATGCTGTATCCCAAGATATTGGTAGGCCTTGAGACAGAGTGTACAGACTCAGCCCCAATATGTTTACATTCATTATCTGAATCAGTGATTTTCAAGTTATGTTTCATGACTCAGTAGTAGATTATAAAACCAATTTAGTGGGTCACAATCATTTTTAAAAAAGAAATAGTATAAGTAGGAATAAAAAATATCAGAGTTCATCACACGTAGTATAGGTAAGGTTTATTTCATGGAACTTATATTTTAGTTTTATATCTACATACAAGGATATATATGTAAGTACATATGGCATCATGATATAAAATGTATTTTTTACTTTGGTTGTGATAAAAAAGTTTGAGAAACCCTGACCTAAATGCAGTCATATCATTATGCTGTGTTGACATAGTTGATCAATCACTAATTCTTAATGCTATTTTTCAGAATAAGGAATCAAAAGAAGAGCAAGTGTAAGTATTAGTTTATTTAATTTTTAAGTTTTTCTTAGCATTTTCAAAGCGTGTTTTGCCAAAATGACACAGTCTTCCTTTGGGAAGTGTTCTCACCATGAGAAGAGAGGACAGTTCCTAATCTTAATAAGTTGCCACTCTTTTACAAAAGGTGACAGAAAGTTAAATTATCATTTTCTTTGGAAAAATAGAATCTCTCAATTTTCTATAAGATTACTCAAGAGTCATCTAATGCTAATTGCTTCATTCAAGGACTAACTTGGGTTCAGCATAAACTTTTTTAAAATACAGTCTACATTGTGGTTAGCCAAATTAAGACTAAATAAATTGTGAAATGGAGGTTTCTTATGTGGTTAGCCTTATTTAAGACTAAGTAAGGCTTAAAGTTTAAAGGACAGATTGTTGTTATGGCCCAGTGACTCTTTTTACAAAAGAATTTGGTTTATTTATTTATTTTCCAGTTGACAGTAAATTTTGAACCTTTAATGGAAATGTTTTAATGTCAAAAGATCACTGTGAGGGCAGGCCCGGTGGCGCACTGCTACAGTGTGCCACTTGGGAGTGCGGCGGCGCTCCCGCCGCGGGGTCGGCTCCCACATACAGACCGGCCGCTCACTGGCTGAGCGAGGTGCGGGCGCAACACCGAGGGTTGCGATCCCGTTGCCGGTCCCGGCCCGGTATGGGCGCGGCACTGAGGGGTGCGATCCGTTGCCGGTCCCGGCCCGGTATGGGCGCGGCACTGAGGGGTGCGATCCGTTGCCGGTCCCGGCCCGGTATGGGCGCGGCACTGAGGGGTGCGATCCGTTGCCGGTCCCGGCCCGGTATGGGCGCGGCACTGAGGGGTGCGATCCGTTGCCGGTCCCGGCCCGGTATGGGCGCGGCACTGAGGGGTGCGATCCGTTGCCGGTCCCGGCCCGGTATGGGCGCGGCACTGAGGGGTGCGATCCGTTGCCGGTCCCGGCCCGGTATGGGCGCGGCACTGAGGGGTGCGATCCGTTGCCGGTCCCGGCCCGGTATGGGCGCGGCACTGAGGGGTGCGATCCGTTGCCGGTCCCGGCCCGGTATGGGCGCGGCACTGAGGGGTGCGATCCGTTGCCGGTCCCGGCCCGGTATGGGCGCGGCACTGAGGGGTGCGATCCGTTGCCGGTCCCGGCCCGGTATGGGCGCGGCACTGAGGGTTGCGATCCGTTGCCGGTCACGAAAAAAGACAAAAAAAAAGGAAAAAAAAAAAAAAAAGATCACTGTGAGATATATTAAGCAACCATATAATTTATGACAGTATAATACATGAAGGAAAGGTAGAGACAGTTTAATGAAGAAATCATTATTCCCTTCAAAATGTTTGCTGAGTATTAGTAACTTCAGAGAACTCTGAAAACATAAATTATCTTTAAAATGGCATCAAAAACATCTTTTACTAACTTTAAAGCTATCACTTATAGTGATATTTTCTTAGTGTTAATGGACTGATCCACTTGGTATGTAAAATATTTCATCATCCAAGGATTTTTTTTTTTCCAGGCTATGTCTAGATGCTGTAAAAATAACTTAATAAAGATGAAACACTGTCATCAATCATTTTGCTCATTTTGCTTGCATTGTAGATCCAAATCTGGATGATGATCAAATCACCTAGGGAGCTTTGTTTTTAAATTAGAATTTTCAAATATACACAAAAGTAAAGAGAAATGTGTGTGTGTGTGTGTGTGTGTGTGTGTGTGTGTATAATCATCCCAATAATACCTATCATCCTGATCCAGTTATCATTGTTTTTCACATTTGTTTCATACTTCCTTTGACATTTTTTTCTCCGTTGAAGTGTTTTTATGCCAAACATCATTGTAATCCCTCATACTTCCTTTGACATTTTTTTCTCCGTTGAAGTGTTTTTATGCCAAACATCATTGTAATCCCTTCACACTTCAGTTTGCGTCTCTTAGAAATATGAACATTTTCCTATATTATCCTAATGCTGTTATTATATTTAAAAATTTCAGGAATAATCTTGGGGAGCTTTTAAAAAATGCAAATCTATTTATATTTTTTAAGTTGTAGCGGTACCTGGAGACATTTAATTTTTAAAAAGTTCTTCAGATAATTTAGAAAATTAATTGGGTTTGAGAATGAGTAGTCCACACAGCAGTTTTATTGAATTTTCCAAAACATTTGAGTCACTTTAGAACATCCCAGTGATACCTAATGACTTTTTGTATTGTGTTTTATGAATTATTCTACAAGCATTATTTATTTTATTATTTTCGTAGCTGACCGGTAGGGGGAACTGAACCCTTGACCTTGGTGTTATAGGGCCTTGCTCTAACCAACTGAGCTAACAAACCAGCCCTACAAGCATTAGATGTCCTTTTTTTTTTAGACCTCAGTGCCCTAACAAAGCAATAATGCACCCTAGGGTTCTCTATTCACTAGTAAAATCAAGTCATGTATATCATACTATAAGTAAACGTACTAGTTCTTGTTACCATTAAATGAGATTAGGAAGGAATTTTATAGCTACTAAACAGTGGGCCAAGTGAAAGGATAGTAGTCTGCATTTCAATTTTATACATGAGTATAAAAACTTATTGCCATTATATGTAGAGGGTACTTTTATTTTTTCAGTGGTCGCTGTTAGTAGTTTAGTTACTGAAATCATGTTATTACTACTTTTTTTGTGTGTGTGTGTGGCTGGCTGGTATTGGGGTCCAAACCCTTGACCTTGGTTTTGTAACACTGTGCTGCAACCAACTGAGCTAACTGGCCAGTCCTACTACTACATTAAAAAAAAAATAAAATCCTGTTACAAAAGAAAACTCCATTTTACAATTTACTTTATGTTGCTATTTGCAACCCTCTATTTAAATGTACATTGGACCTAAGCACTGAAGTTGATTAAACCACCCTACCTGTCAAGAATATTGTGGGGGAAAAAATGAATATTGTGATGGTAAAATAATATAGCAGGTGTGGAGTGCTTGCCAATATTTCTCAAAGTATTGTTTCCCAAAGTAACTAATTTAACAGTTATAATTTGAAAAATGAGCTCTGTGGTCACATAATTCTTAAAAACACTGGATGAACAGAATTAAATAGGTACTTCGAGTGTTGTCTCACATATGCTAATATTCATTGTGAATCTTAAAGAGAAATACACAGTGTGAGCACTGTTCATACTTTGACCATGAACCCTTCTAATGCTGAGCATCTCATTAGAACAGTACAGTACGAATTTGAGAAATAATAGTTTAGATGAAAAGCACTATACAGTTATAAAAGATCACGTTGATTATGTCACCACTATAGACCATATATGGTAGAAAGAGAAGAGCACTTGAAAGAACAAGCAAATCCATACCCAGTCAGTAGATTTATGAAAGAGGATGCAAGTGATGTTCAAGAAGATTCTGCAACTGAAGACAAGTTCTATAGCCTGGATGAATTGCACATTCTGGACATGATAGAGCAGGTAAGCATAACTGGAGAAGGTACAGCCCTGCTTTCCTTTTTCAGAAAGGAAGTTCTTACCTCGTTTTCCCCAGGACTCTTTGAAAGCCTGGCTCTTGAAAAGCCCTGTGATTTGTGTTGTGTTTTTGAGGAGAAAGAAAAAACAGAAAGAGAGGTAAAGAGGAATATGTGAAAGAAAAAAAGAATAAGAAAAAATCCTAGGAGCTGGAAATTTTTCACTTTAGCCCTAAAGCCGTTTCCTGGCTTTAACTATTGGGCAAAGCTGATTACAAATGCATTCTATGTAAAAGGTCAAAGGGTTTTTAAACTCCATAAGGAAAAAAAAAAAAAAAAAAAACCCTAGCATAATCTCACTAGATTAAATGTCATGAGAAAAATAGTTTTATAAAATACAGCTACTTTCATTGTTTTGATTAAACCTGGTTGTTACCATGAAATGTCTACAAAAAAATACTAATGTACAACAATATTTTTCTTGTTCCTTTCCTGGTACTCACTGCTTAGAATGATGTATTTATATGTGAAAAGGCATATAAACTTGCTGTAAGCGCTCAACAGAGCACTTAATTAGACAAAGCAGATGAACTTTTTTAAAAAAACAACTTGTTTTACCCACCCATGAGAATTCAGTGATAACCTGTTCTGAGGTTTAAATATAATGCTATAGAGTATATAGAAATATAAATTGTCTAAGGGTGCAGTTAGTACACATGATTCCCTGGCTGGTAGTACAGCATTCATGTAATTGTCATACCTTTTTTTTTTTCTTTCCAGTTATAATATTAGAATATGTACATTTTAACTGAAATGTATTCTTAGCTTCAGATGTCACATTAAGGTTTATGTTTGGGGCCTCTGGTTTTCATTTAATAGCCCTGAGAACTCAAAAATAGAATTAAAATGTTTTCCACATTTTGAAAATTGTTCATTTATTCAAAAACCATTTAGCCCCTATTAACCACATAGTTCCTATTATAGTCTTTACAATCTAGTGGAGAAGTTGAACATTAAACTAAGATAATATAGTGTGATAATTAAGTGCTTGGGCAATTAAGACTGCCCGAGTTTAGGCTTCTCCACTTACTGACTGTGTGATTTTGGGCAAGTTACTTATGTTATCATTTCTAAACTGGGAATGAGTTCCCACTTCATATGGTTCTTATGACCCTAAAAGCATTACAAAGAAAATGTTTAAAAAATGGTAAGCATGCAGGTAGTGTTAGACAGTAGTAGCAGCATCAGACAATGGTATTATTGTTTAATGAATGCTGTAACTGGGGGGAGAGGGCTTCATCTAAACTAATCAAAGAATTGGTGTTTGAGTTGAGACATAAAACACGAGTAGGAGTTAGATGGCAACTTTAAATCCCCTTTAAATAACTAAAGTATTAGTGCTTTTTTTTTAAAAGAGAGGGAGTGCTTTTTTTTTTTAAAGACATACATATTCCATTTGCTTAATAGGGTTCAACTGGCAAGGTAACTGCAGACTATGGAGAAGCTGAAAAGGAAAGGCTTGCTTATCAACGGCAGCTTTATAAATTGCACTATCAGTGTGAAGTAAGTACTTTTTTGTTTTGACCTGAGGGAGGTGAATTATTACAAATGTTAAACTTAATGGTGTATATATATATATATACATAAAAATATATATATATATATATATATTTATGTATATATATAAATATATATATATATATATATACACATAAAAATATATATATATATATATTTTTTTTTTTTAAAGGATCCAGTTTGTTTTTTTCTTTCAATTTCTGGTGACTTGAGCAGAATTAACTGTGAAATAATACTTTTCACTGATCAGGATTTCAAAAGACAGTTGAAGACAGTAACTTTTCGATGGCAAGAAAACCAAGTGCAGATTAAAAAGAAAGACAAAATCATCGCATCTCTTAACCAACAAGTGGCTTTTGGAATCAATAAGGTTTCCAAGTAAGCGCAAATCTTTTGATAAAAGGGAAATTCTTGTTTGCTCCATAATAAACAGTATCTTTAATAGATAATCCCTATGTAGCCACTAGGTGGCATTGTGACTGCATATTTGGAACTCCCAAACACAGGGCTGCAGGGGCTTAAAAACCAACTGTTTTTGTCTTGCCAACTGGATTGAGAATTAAACAACTGCTCACTCTGTATATCAGGTTTTTCATGTAGTGGCTGAAAAAGTGTGAAGATAATAGAATTACATGAGCAATATAATTGTTTCAGGTCATGACTGTAATTTGTAAAAATGTGACCAATGATTGTTTCTTTATAGCATATGATGATCACATTCCTCAACGACACCCATGGAATCATTTCTAATCCTGAGCTATTTAAAACAAATCAAATTCACAGAGACTCTTCTTCTCACCCATACCAATCTTTTGTCTTCTACAACCTTAATTATTAAATGTCTAAGACCAAAAATTCTGACTTACTTAACAGGAAAAAATTAGTTACCTGCTTTATTCTTTTTGTGTTGCCTCCAACCTGTATCAGTTTAAATGGTAGAATAGTTTATAACAAATTATTTTTATAAATAGTAATACCACAGGACAAGTCATTTGTGAAATTCATTGCATTTCCTAGACTGGTAATAGGAGAATAAACAAATGCTAGGGGATGTCTTAGAGTAAGGATTCCAAGATACTTCTTGTGAAATTGGAGAAATGTTTGGCAGAGATTGAGGTCTTTAATTTTCTCCCACATATTCCATCTCCAACTTGAAGGGGTTATTGGGAAGAACCAGATGCCATAGTTTGACAACATGATTTCAGTTGTAAATGCTTTCAGACTTTTACCTACTGGAATTGGGGAGATCCTTCAAGTTTAGAAGAAGATGAGGACATAAGAAAGCTTGGGCAAACTAAGCTGGCTGCAGTTGCTTAACCTGTACTTCAGGATTGAAACTTTGTCTTTTAGCCTGGAAGGTGAAAACCAATCCAGATGTGTCATATAACATCAAAGATCAGAAAAGCAGTGCCATCAGTGTAGATGAGCTGCCTCTCTTCTTCACCATCTGAGGATATCCCTGCTTACCTCTGACAGTTGGCTTAGGTACCCTTGTATGCTTGAGGCTACAAACAGGTCAGTTTAGGGGATGCATATGTCTTCACACAACGAACATTCTGTGTTGAGCATTCACAAAACATCTATCAAGTACCCACTGTGTCAGAAGAGTTATTCAAGACACATGTAGAAGATACCAAGATATGTGACATTTATTATGGGCTAATGGAGAGTATAGAATAACATGTGAGGATTAAAATTACATTTAACAGAGGTACTTCTAGGTCCACCAACATGTAGTAGCCCCATTCCTCACAGTCCTTTCCTCTTACAATTTAAACACCCCAGACATTATACAACAAACAAGCATAGGAACACTCTGAAATGTGAAAGAAAGTATGCTGTCTGAAGACATTGGAACTTGAGGAACAAAATGGCAGTAAGTTTTCTTCTTGCTTCCCATTTGAGTATGTTCCAGACAGGGCACAGCAGAAGCCTTCAACCTGGAATTGCCAATAAGCACAGAAAAAAAAAAAAAAAACCTCTAAGAAAAGCCTATTTCCTCTAGCCAAAGATCAGGAAAGGAAAGTATAACAACAGAAAGCCTTTTTGAAAATATCCACCCTACTCCATCCAAACACCAATGGCCCCCACACCACCCATTGAAAATAGGCAGTGCACTCTGATTCTCCCACCTGACAGGAGTAGGTGGCAGCAATTCCATTCCCTTGTTGGGGTTGTGTCAGCAGCACTGAGCTGGGGTCTTCTACTCCCCATTAGGCAGAAGAAGGTAGTGTTCCAGTTCCTCTGCCAGGATATATCAGTGTGGTCCAGCTCTGAGCTGAGCCTATACATCTACCCAGCATCAATGAGACTTACCAAGGCAGTATGAGGTGAAACTAGTCAATACTACGTTTCATCCCTACTCCCCACTATGGCAAGCCAAGTCTCCACCCCTGGAGCTGGTTGGCATTCCATTCCTCCCTCTCCCCTCAGTTGGTGTCTGAGGGGCACAGCAGAGAGCTGAGCTTCTGCCTCCACCCTGCAATAACAAAGCAGTGTGAGTCAGCCATTTGCTTTCTTCTTCCCTGCTGTCAGCAGGGCCCAGTGGGAAGCTTATTTTATACTCCACTTGAAGACAAAAAGACAGTGTGAGTTGGTGCCCACTTTCATAGGAAGATGTCAGTGGGCCTGAGTGGGGAGCTCATTGCACACCTCTCGTCTGCATTGAGGCAGCATGAGTCAGTCAGTGGCCACTTTTGCTGGGGCTGTTGACAGGGTTCACTGTGAAGCTGAGCATACATATCCACTTGGTCCTTACATTACACCTCAGTAGGGGAACTGCCTGATAAAAATAGGAAGATTAAATAGAACCCAGAGTCTCAAAATATCCAGAATATCCAGGCTACAATAGAAAACACTCTTCACACTCAGAACCAGGAAAATCATAGCATCAAAGAGAAAAGACCAACAAATAAGAGGAGTAAGATGATTTAGATGTTGGAATTATCTGACAAAGATTTTAAGGTAGCCATCATAAAAATGCTTCATTGAAGCTGAATTCTCATGAAACAAATGAAAACCTAGAAAATCTTAGTAATGAAATAAGTTATAATAAAGAATGGAAGTTATAGAACTAGAAATACAATAATTGAAATAAAATCTTCTGGATATAGTCAGTAGTAGAGTAGAGATGACAGAGAATTGAATAAGTGAACTTGGGGACAGAGAATTGCATCAGTGAACTTGGAGACAGATGAATAGAATTTACTCATTCTGAAGAGCAAAGAGAAAATGGACTGGGAAAAAAAAATTAAAAATAGAGAGTCTCAGGGACCGGTGGGACTACAACAAAAGAGCTAACATTCTTATTACTTGAGATTCAGAAGGAGAGTAGAAAGAGAGTGGACTGAAAAAGTATTCAAAGAAATGACTTGAAAACTTCCCAAATTTGATGAAATATTTACAAGAACCCATAGCTGAGGATTTAAAACTTTTGTCTTTTACCAATCTAGATATGTCATGTAATATCAAAGATCAGAAAAGTAGTGCCATTAGTGTAGATGAGCCACCTTACAAATTCAAGAGTCTAATTGAACCCCAAATGGTAAAGACCTAAAGAAATCCATGCCAAGATGCATCATAACTAAACTTCTGAAAACTAAAGACAAAGAAAAATCTTGAAAGCAGGCAGAGAGAAATGTTACTTATGTGTGAACACTAATTTGAATGATAGTATATTTTTCATCTGGAACCTTGGGGCCAGAAGGAAGTGACACATTATTCAGTTATAGTCATGTGGTATATAACAACGTTTACATCAGTAATGGACCACGTATACAACAGTGGTCAGAGAAATAGGATATACCATATAGCCTAGAAGTGCAATTAGGCTGTACTATCTAGGTTTGTGTAAGTATACTATGATGTTCACACAACGATCAAAACACCTAATGATGCATTTCTCAAAATGTATTCCCGTTGTTAACAGTGCGTGACTGTATTGAAAAGAAAAAAACAGAACAATGAATCCTGCAAAAATATCCTTTAGGAATGAAGGGAAATAAAGACAGTCTCAGACAAGGGAAAAGTATAAAAATATGTCGCTAGCAAACCTACCCTTAAAGAACGGCTATAGGAAGGTCTCTACACATAAAGGAAATGATAATAGAAGCTTGTCGTATAACTTCGTATAATGTATGCTATACAAGTTATTACGCTCGAGGAGATGGAAGAATGGATCAGTGAGATGCTACCCACAGCCTGTGATGAATCCTACAAAGACCCCACCAACATTCAGATGAGAATTTGATATATTTAAATGAAATACTTAGAACAATATATTTATAAAGTGAGGAGGGTAAGGGTACTTAAATGAGATTAAGGTTCCTATGTTTCATACGAAGTAGGAAAATGTCAATACCATTTGGTGGTAATTAATTATGGATGTGTATTTTAATACCTAGTACAACAAATAAGAAAACTGCACAAAGACATGCACACAAAAACACTGTAAATGGGTCAAGTTGGAACCTAAAAAATGTTCAGATAATCCACAAGATGTTATGAACAAAAAATAGAGGAAACAAACAGAAAACAAGTAATAAATGGCAGATGTAAGCCTAACATATCAATAATTACCTTAAATGTAAATGGTCTAAAAATACCATCTCATGGTCTATATAATTAAAAGATAGAGACTGGCAGAGTGTATTTAAAAACAAAGTGTGATCCAACAAGATGCTATTTACAAGAAAGTCACTTCAAATTCAGCAACATAGGTAGGTTGAAAGTAAAAGCATGTTAAAAGATATACCCTGCAAACATTTATCCAAAAAAGCAGGAATGGCTGTATTAATATCATATAAAATGGACTTCAGAGCAAAGACAACTGCTGAACAAAGAGAGGGACATTACATAACGATAAAAGGATCAATCCATCAGGAAGACATAAGGACCTAAAGGTGCATGTACCAAAATACAAAACCTTAAAATACATGAAGCAAAACCTGACAGAACTAAAAGGAGAAAAATCTACAATAATAGGTGATGGCATCATTCCCACTCTCAGCTATTTATAGAACTACTAAACAGGAAATCAGCGAGGATATAGTCCATGACAACACCATCAGCCAACAGTATCTGATCAATATTTAGAGAAAATTCTACCAAAGAGCAGTAGAATACACTTGCTTTCAAGTGCCCACAGGACATAAAATAAGACAGACCATATCCTGGGCCTTAAAACAGACCTCAAAATCAGGTAAAATATTTTCTCAGATCACAATGAAATCAAACTAGAAATTAGTAACAAAGATAACAAGAAACCTCCAAAAGTGTTGGAAGCTACACATGTCTAAATAGTTCTTGGGTCAAAGAAGAGATCTCAAGGGAAATAGAAACACATTGAATTGAATTATAATATATGAAAATTTGTGGTACACAGCTAAAGCAATGCTGAGAAGAGTTATAGCACTAAATACACACATTAGAAAAAGGGAAAAGCCTCAGATGGATAATCGAAACACATTGAATTGAATTATAATATATGAAAATTTGTGGTACACAGCTAAAGCAATGCCGAGAAGAGTTATAGCACTAAATACACACATTAGAAAAAGGGAAAAGCCTCAGATGGATAATCTAAGCCCTCACTTCAAAATCCCCCCAAAAGAAAACTATTTTGTAGCAAAGGAAGGCAATAATAAATACGAGAAATAATGGAGTAGGACACAAAAACAATAGAGAAAAATCTGTGAAACCAAAAGCTGTTTGAAAAGTTCAATAAAATTGACAAACCTCTAGCAAAACTGACAAAGAGAAAAGAAATAAATTAACCATCATTCAGAATGAAATAGCAATATCACTACAAACCCTGCAGACATCAGAGATATATGCTGAGTAAAAAAAGCCAGTCTCATAAGCTTATGCATTCTGATTCCTTTTCTATAACATTCTTTACACAAAAAAATTATAAAAATGGAAAACAGATTAATGATTCCAAGATCATAAGAGTGGGAGAGGAGTGGGAGGGAAGTAGATGTGGCTACAAAAGGACAAAAAGAGGGATCCTGGTGACAATGGAAATGTTCCGTGTCATGACTGTATAACCGTCAATATCCTGGTTATAATACTGTTGATTTGCAAAATGTTAGCATTAGGAGAAATTTGGTAAAGGATATATGGACTCTCTCTGTATTATTTCTAACACCTGCATGAAAATCTACAATTATCTCCAAATAAAAATTTTAACTTTACAAAAAAGTACATATAAATAACTTTCAAACTAGGCTATACTTAATGGGGATTTTGCAGTATAAAGAGAGTACTTTCGATTGTTGTGATAAGGAAGAATGTTCTTCAATGAAGGAAGAACTTTAATGAAGACACAATAGTGAACCTAGGCATTGAAGACTAGGTAGGATGAAATGAGAGAAGAGACAGGGCATCCAGGCAGAAAGGAAAGCATAAGCACTCTGTGTGTTCTCCTATCAGCTTTTGCGACTTTTGTTTGTTTAATTTACTTGAATATTTCCCAGAAGCATGTGATAGAAATATAAAGATTATTTAATTGTAAATGTTGGTTTCTTTCACCTTAAAATATGAAGTTTATTAGGAAGCAAAAAATGTATTTTTCTGTGGCCTAATTCAGTGCCATTCCTGCAATAAATGTTTGGCAAATATTTGTTGGTGATAACTGAAGTGTTAAAGAAGATTTATATAAAAGTGACCTATTTTGCATAAACTACAGTAGTCACTTAATCAATATCAAGAAACTGCTGTCCATAAAATCCATATAATAAATTGGATAGCCAGCCAGAGTTAGCTTGAAAACTTTCCATCTTTTAGAAAAGAAAATCTAATAATACCATCCTATCATGTTATACATGAGAAAAATAGGACTAAGAAGTTATGACTGCCTGAACATATATAGCTGGTTCATATCCAAGTTGGATAATAGTAACTATGTCTACCTTTCCTCTCTTACTTAAGAATCCAGGTCTGTTAAATTCCCCACTAGCTCTGTCAACGCTTATCACCCACTGTAGCTGGGTAAAATATTGGAGTTATCACCCATTCTTAATCACCCACTCTAGCTGGGTAAAATATTGGAGTTATCACCCACTCTTTTTTTTTTTTTTTTTTTTT